CCGAAGTACACTGCTGAGGGGAGCAGCGGGCGGCAGGAGAGGTCTGCGCCATGTGGGACCCTCCTCTGGTGGCCGGGGAGCAGCCGGGGATCGAACCGGCGCTGCAGAGGCCGCGGGCAGCTTCGCAACCCAGCGCTCAACCGCTGCGCCACCGGGGAGGCCCCAAAGACTTTCTTGAGAGTTCTTGGTTGTCTTAATATCTGCCAAACTTGCTATGCCTGAAATAGAACTGCGTCTCCCCACCACACAAAATAATTTCCCTTCCGGTCTTCCCTCTTTAAATGGTGTCGTCGCCATGCGCGTATGTGCCGCGGCCAGATTCCTGGTGGCCATCCGTGAGTCCCACTGCTCATTCCCCGCGGCAGTGCCCAAGCACAGTGGACAGCACGTTTCAAGTCTGGGCGCGTCTTTCCGGGCAGTCTGGCCATGTCCCGGCCACGCCATTGCCTCTCACCCGCGCTGCTCCGTGGCCCGCTCCTGGGCCTCTTCCTTCTTCCTTCTTCCACTCCGGTTTCATTGCCATTGAGAGTCTGGCGTGATCTTGGTAAACGTAAATCAGATCATTGCTCCATAACTCAGAACCTTCCAGTAACTTCCTGTTTTATTTAAAATAAAATGTCAGTCCCCTGTGCTGGCTTGGAAAGGCTCTACCCCACACTGCAACATCATTTCAAGCCCTTTCCTTACCAGACCTTAACTTTCCTGCTTCAGAGCCTTTTTTACCACCTGGATGGCCCTCCCTCTTGACACGGGACCGACTTCTTATCCTTCAGGTCTTTGCTTCAGGATCATGCAGCAGTGACGATCTGACAACTTCTCGCTCCATTGGTGCCCCTCCCATTCTTCTGGCCATTGTGCCCAGTTTGTTTACTCATTTACTGGCTATTTTCCTCACAAAAATGTAAGCTAGGGAGACAGGAAATTGGCCCAGTGCCTGGCAACAGTGCCTGCTATGTAATAGGCATTCAATAATATATATGTAAGTTGTCATTGACCATACTTCGGGGCATGAACTGGCCTCGTTTGCCCTGCTCATTGCAGCGCAGTTGCAGGTGGGGGACGTGGAGTGGTCCAGGAATGTCAGCCGTTTGCCCAGCACAGTGGATCTTGGCCAAAATTCCTCGTGTTTCTGTGGGGAGGCAAAGTACTTACTATTGTCATACATTGGCCACGCCCCAAGGCAGAGGGAGATAAAGGTAGGTATGGCCAGGAGGAGGGCCCCTTTCCTAGTCATTCATTCCCTATTCTCATAGCTGTTGACCTGGCTCTGAGAGGCCAGAGCCAGGGCAGGCCAGGGCTGGGGTCACTGGCATTCTAGTTCACCCCGCAGAAGAGGTTTAAAAGCCTTCCTTATTCTCTGTGGTGGGGTCTGCGCTAGGACCGCCAGCTGCTGTCTCCATTTCAGTAGCTGCTAACTGCAGCTTTCTGCTGTGGTGAACAGCACCAGGAATCTGGGGCCTTGTTTTCCTCATTCTTTTGTGAATGGGGCATCCAAGTATTTTAAGCTTTCTAAACCTCTGTTACTACAGTCACTGGGGGAGCCAAGGCTGCTGCACCCTGGAGTTTGTGGGTTAGCAGAGATGATGGCCCAGTCATGGAGTCTGTCGGATCCTTGGTCATGAGGTTTGGGTTTGGCCTGGATCCTCAAAGGGCCTGAAAACCTAGGGCACTACTGATTGCATCATGGCAGCAGGCCTTCCCCTCCTCTGTGGGCTCCCTTGGGTTGATCTAATTGTCTTCTCTGCCCCCTCCTTCTCCTCACCCCATCCCAACCCCGCAAATCTCCTAGGAAGGAGGCACTGCATCTCTGAGGACCAGATTTGTGAGCCAAATCCTGACAAACTAGAAGGCCAAACTAGTTTGGCTAAGTTGCTTCCCTTCATGGGCTGCCTTGCAGCCACCAGTGCTCTTCAGCCCTTCCGACAATCTCTGAGCCATACACTGAGGGCCTAGTGTCTTTCTGCCCCACACCAACTTCCCTGCGTTGATGAGAATCGAGAAGGGGTAGATCTGAGGCTACCAGACAGGCCTGCAGGGATTGGGCTGCAGTGGGGGCTCTTGCCAAGTAGGAGCTGCAGTTTCATAGGTCTGTGACTTCCCCACCACGCTAGGGACCATGCTGCAGAGAACCCCGGGGGTTCTGGAGCACCAGCGAGGGGAATTGATGCTTTTCTCTCAGGCTGCAATTTTGAAATCAGGCTGGGGTTTATTGCGCCTTGTATTTCAAGTGCCTCGCTGAGTGCGGTCGCTCTGGCTAGGCCTTGCTTGGGTAGGCCCACCTCAACCTACTGATTGTTCAGGAAGGAATGCAAGATGTATGGCCTGGGGTAGTATTCACCCCACCTAGGCCAGATATGCCCTTGGCTTTCTACAGCTCTCACAATCTCGACTGATGCTGATGAGTGTAATTCTATGTCAGAGAATGGAAGTATTTTGATGAGTCTAAATCTTAAAGCACAAAGCTGTATTTTGTAGGATGGCAAATAATGGTTCTCTGAACTCAGAATACTTTAATTTCTCAGCAATTCCCATTTTCATCATACCATCCTGACTCAGTTCTCTTTAGAGATCTGAGAGACCTAATCTTCTCTGTCCTACCTTAGTGGTATCTTGTGCAAAAACCCTTGTGAGGGGCCTGTGCCGTAACAGGAGCGCAGCAACTCAGGAGAGAAGCAGAGCCCATGTGATGGCTTACGCAGCCTCGGTGACTTAAATCCTGTCCCTGTGACGGTCCCTTGAATCACATGTCCTCAGGCCTGGCCCTTTTCCTGTCTACAATTTTTTTCTTCTTTTAAAATAAAACAACTCTACTGGCCTCATGCCCAGGGGAAACCTGTTGTGTATCAGATAAACCTCACCTAGAGCTCTTTCCTTGGTCCTCTCCATTCAGTGATCTTTCAGGAAAAGGTCGGATCCCGTTGCCCCTAACCTTAGAACTCTTTAATAGCTTCACAGCCTTAGGGCTAGAGGAAAATTCTTTTACCATGGCTCACAGGGCTCTGGTGAACTGTCTACCTGTAACTTCCCCCTTCAGGTTTCTACCTCTTGCTACAGAGCTTCCTTGCTAGTTCCTAATGGACACCACACTCATCCTGTTTAGGGGCTTTCAAATGTGCTGTCTCTGGTCTTGGAATAACTCCACCTACCTCCCAAAGTTAGTCTTATTAAATATTCTCATAGCACTTACTCCTCCACAGTACTTATCACAGATGTAATTAAGGTTTGCTTCTCCACTATGAACCACTCTTTTATCACCCAACTCTTGGCTCATAGAGGAATTCAAATCCCTGATAAAATAAGTGAATTCAGGAGCTTTTCGTGTGCAAGGCATCCTGGTATTCTGAAAATGGTCTATATGGAGAAACTTGCCCTTGGTAAGTAAAAGGAACTCTGCACCTGCAGCATGCAGTTTCTCACCTAAGGACTGAGGGTGAGAAACAATCCTCTTACATGGGCTGGAAAAAAACCTTTCTCGTTGTTACCTATTTTGTGGGGAGTGAAAAGGTTTTCTAAGGAGAAAATATTTCATATGGTTCTGCAAGCCTTTTTCTCTTGTAAGAAACTTATCTTACCATCTGAAGTGCTGTCCAATACAGTAGCCACTATTGACTATAACAAAATTCAAAAGTCCAACTTTGTGAGTCATATTTCAAGTACTCAGTCGCCACTAATTAGCTAATTATCATTAAGGACTTGGTTTTTCTGCTTTACTAGCCCCGTTTCATATACCCAGTGAACTACAGAGACAATTCTAGCACAGCCCAAGTTTTGCTGGGCATGCGGATATAGAACTATTGCAGAGATCCCAACTTTTTCCCTTGCTGGATTCCTGCTAGCGAGATAGAAATCAAGGTAAGTTAAACAGCTCGGTGAGGCCAGCAATACCTGTACTTAATTATTTTTGTCTTTATGATGTGCCTTGCTACAGAGCCTTGATGTGTCTTGCACATCAATCACAAGGAAATCCCAGTATCTTTGTCTTTTCTGTAAAAAAGACAGTCCTATGCCTGGCTGGGGAAGCCTGTGGCTAACAAAGGCTTGTGTACTTCACCAGCGGTTGGAGTGTGTACTGACAGGCCAGCCTCAGATTTCAAAGAAAAAAAAAAAAAAAAAAGGAAATTTTGCTTCACCTATGTTGAGCATTATTTTAAGTATAAAAATACCCGGGGACAATGCAAGGTAATAAAATTTCACTTTCAGAATTTACCTTCAGCGTTTCCACACAGAATACAGTAAAATTTGAGTCCACCATTGGTTTCATTTTATGGGGCTCTAAGCACCAACAATAAATTACAATGTCCAGAAATCTTTTTAAAAATCTTATTTTATAGCAGAATGCTGTCACTGCCCATCATTACTACTTTCCTGCTCAAAATACTGACATAAGCTTCCCCTCTTTTGACTTACCACAACTCCATTTATTGCAGAATATTCTAATCCTCGCAGAATATTAACATTATGGGAAGGGGAAGTTTGTAAGTGTATTTATGAACATAAGTATGAAGTCAAACTGAGTCAACTTGGTAAGTCATGGGGGAGTGGGAAGTTCTGGCTCACCTTTTCCTGCTGTAAGGTCTCTCTGGGGCTGGCTTCTATTACTGCTCAGCTGAGCTTGCTAGCCTTTAGCTGGAAAAAGCAGCTCTGATTATTTAAGAGAAAGGGCGCCTAACCACCAGCAGTAGGCTATTTATCTATCAATGCCTCAAAGTTCTGGCTAATTCCTCCCCACCCATTGTTAAAGCCGTATTACTTACCTCATTAAAACTTTCCTTCTACATCTAAGTTTCAGACATCTGTTCATTTGAATTTTGAGCTCCACAATTGGGAAGAAACATAAGATACTGGTGGTAAATAATAGTCACAAGCAAAGTGTTAAAATGTTTATTTGTCAAAATATTAAAAAAAAAAAGGTGGGAGGAGTAGAATAAAACAAGGCTAAATTTCAGCTATTGCTGTACCACGATCACAGGTCAGACATAAAAAAAAACAAAACAAACAAAACAACAACAAAAACCCCACCAACACCCCAACGGCCCTAGCAATCTCAGAAGGTTAGCGTCAGTGTTAAAGAGTCCAGAGCTAACAGAAGAGCAAAAGGCGGCTTGCCACTACATGTTCATTCTAAAGGGAAAGGAGATGCTGCAGGTGGGCAGGGAGAGGGCTCAACTCCTACGGAAAGCAAGATAAGAGGGTTCCACTGTACAGGAAAAAGGGGGTGCCAGCATAATCCTTACCTAGCGCTGCTCAAAGGCTGAGAATATGAGGAACAGTGAAAAGCTACAAGGACTAGTATCAGGAGGAAAGAAAAGTCAACTTAGAAGAATTAAATTAAGAAAGAAAACATAGTTGGTCACAAATTCCTTTGTTTACTGAAACATGAAGCAATGGAAACATCCCGGCAAAGGGGACCGCGCGGAGCAAGTTCTCATATATGACCGCAGCCCGAGGGTTCAGTCCGCAATTATCCTACCTGAAAGAGAGCACAACACAAGAGGCTTACACAGTGCCTGGAGAGCAGCTTGGCTCCTGGTCCCGTTCTGTATTCCGGGGTGGGGGGGGAAAAGAACAAAACAAAACCAAGTCAGACTGGATCAAACTTACATCTCACTCATTACCTAGAAGTCTACAGTGGCTTCGGCTAGGAACCTATGCATAGCTACACACAGAGCAAGGCGCGGCCTATCCGGAAGACTGTTGTGTTGGTGGTGAACACATCTTTCTCATTTTCTTCTCCATCTTTTGGGCAAGACAACCTCTGTGATACCAGACTACTGTTGCTGCAGCAGAGGGCACACAGACATCATGAAGAACCGTAATTTGGAGTTGAGGAGAAGCAAAAGATGCCGAGACATCAGAGGTGGCCAATCACACTACCCTAAATTTGCTTTGCTCTAATCTTCCACAGTAAACAGTCTTCAGAAATGACAGTCACAAAGGCTGTAAGGGTAGAGGCTCATTCACCCTCCAGCACACCTGCATGTCCAGAGCTCACAGCTCCAGGGCCACAATTCCATCAGTTCCCCTGATCCGCTACAGCTCCCTTACCAAGTCAAAAGAAAAAAATCTTAAAATTCTCTAATTCTTCCATCGATGATGGGAACTCCGGACACCCATGGCTGGGAAGGGAGGGGGGAAGTTAACTCACACCAAGTTCCTCTACTTATTACAAAGGGTCAAATCTTGGTCTTGATCTGTGTCAATCGACTTCAAAAGTTGTGACGTTCTTGAATCAGTTCTGCCAGGGTGAGACCTGAATTTGGATCCCCAACAGTTCTGGAGTGTTTCATCCTGGCAGCCTCATTAACATCAGGCTCCTGGGACTACAACCAACTCAGGGTTGTTCAGTCCATTTGAGGTTCACACCTGGAAGGTAAGTTGCTTTAAAAGTCATCACTAAAAAGAGGTTAGATGAACAACCACTGCTTGCAGTCACAATTCACTTTAACATATCCTAGAGCAATACCCTTTTAAATAACACATTACACTACTTTAATATTTAACTTTGAAACATTGGAGAGAAACAGAAGTCACTTGGTAGATGATACCACCTTACTATAGGCAGATCCCACCCCATGGTAGGTCCACCTGCATTTGCAATAAAACTAATGGCAAACTCCACACACCTTTGTAAGTTTACCCACTTCACACACACGAATGCGTGGTCTCGGGAGGTGCCAAGTCTTTCCACGTCACTAAGATACAACTTACCACAGGTACATGCCATATCTGCTTTTCACTGCATAAAAGGGCAAATTCCTTTCATTTTGTTGTATACGCCAAAGGGGTAAGATACTCTGAAAATTCAGTTTAACCTTGCTAATAGGGCTTTCATTCAGGGGAGCCTCAATTTCAAGGTACAAGGAAAACCATGAGACGAGAAAGCTACCACGACGCCATTTCCAGTCAGATGAAAAGCCTGTCCATCTTGAGATGAAAAAATCTGAGTATTCTTGCCATTCTGACATTTTTGGTATACATTTGCTGAAGTAGGAAAAGTTAAATTTCCAGGATCACCACCAGTGGGATTTTATACATTAGAAAATTACATTTATCTAGTTTCTTAGATAATCCTCAAACAAAAAACCCCTGGAAGAAACAGGAATCACCAGGCTCTAGACAGCAATCACAGGCTTCACAGAAATATGGCTTAAATGCCCACGAATGATAAGATGCTCTGGATAACTAAAGAGGAAAGAACAGGACAGTGGTATCAAAACATTCTGCTTTTCCATCAAGTGTCTTAGACCTAAACCCTAAAATATACAGGCCTTGACTTGGCTTACAGATACACGGTATTAGAAGAGTTACCTCAGATAAAGGCTAATGACTCATGTAGTGCTTTTATTAAGTCAGAAGTCTGAAGTTGCACTTAAAAGCCTCACTGTGCCAGTCATTACTGCTCTTCAGCTCACACCAGTGACTTGCACAGTGCAAAGAATGGGTTCTGGAGCCAGACAGGCCTGAGTTTGAAGTCTGGCTCTACCTCTCAACTACCAGATGCCTCTCCAGGCAATGTGCTCTCTGAGCCTTACTGCCCTTGTCTGTAAAGGGAAAATGTTGTAAAGGCTTGCTGTGTAGCTCAATGATGTAAAGGACACACAGGGCACTCAAAAAATGTTACTGATTTTTTAACTTTCTGTAACCCAGATTTGCTTACATGTGATTAAAGAACAATATTCTTACTGACAAACCGAGTTTTTTGTTCTCTCAGAAGGAACAAGTTGGTTGGACTCTCACACTAACACCTCAACAGGCCAAGTGGGCCTCTGGCCCAAGCCGGCAACATATTTAAGACCTTCTGGAATCTGTCCTCTAGCAAAGAGGTGGCTTGAGCCTCCTCTATAAAGCAAGGGTTGTTTTCAGGGGAACTAAATGCAATCTCTTAAGCCACACCCACCCTGCTCTCACCTCCAGTTTTTAAAAGGCTGAGTACCGCGCTCGGTCCACATACTGCTCCCGCTCATACCGGGCCATGTCATACAGAGAATTCCGTGCAGCTGCTGAGGCCTGAGACAGCTCGCTCTCTGGCCCATAACCGTAGCCCTCGCCAACTGTGGGGAGCACAGCTGTGGCACGACGCAGGGGGCTCCTGTCCCTTCCATAATAGGAGGAAGTCGTGGCAGCGGCAGCAGCCATAGCAGCTGAGGTGGCGGCAGCACCTGAGTTCTGCAACAGGTGCCTGTCGTAAGGATCCACAGACGTGGAGTTGAGGTGACTGGTCACAGCCGTGCTCTGGACTTGCGGCAGGTGGGACATGGTCTGCTCGGCGTAGTTGTACGCGGAGGCCGCGGCCGCCGCCGCCACCGCCTCATAAGAGCGGACCCGGTAGCGCTTGTAGTAGTCGAGGGCGCCGTAGGCATCGTTGTAGTACACGGACTCCCCGTAGCCCATGGCGTAGGGCGTGCGCACGGCGCCGTACTGTTCGTTGTACTGCTCGGTGAAGTCGGCCACGCGGCCCGTGCGGTCCACCGGGCACTCCTTGGACCAGTGCCCCTCCTTCCCGCACCGGTAGCAGCCGCTCTGGTCGCCCATCCCGGGCGCGGTCCGAAGCCGGCTGGTGGACAACTGCACGTGCATCCGCTTGCCTGGAGGAAAGAGATGTGAGAGGAGCTGTTGTAACTCACCGCCGGTCTTTATGTGCCCCCCACGGAAGCAGACGGGTTGCGGCCAAGCACGCGCGCCCACGTGGCCGCAGCGGCCTCAGCGAGGCCCGCAGGGGCGGCTGAAGGGTTAATCCAGACGCGAGCTAGAAACAGTCCTCGGAGACCACCCGGTCCTTTCTCCTCAGACCAGGCAGACTGGATTCCCTGCTACTTCTCTTTCCACAACTTTCCTTCCCCTCCCTGCCAAGACAGGGATTGAAGTTTCTGCTTTTCACTTGGAAGGCTGTTACTATGAATCAAAACCTGCCGACACTGCAAATCAATCCAACCAAACCTCAGTTATGCCAGATTCAGAATGTAGCTTACCAGCCTCTCACCGCTTCACTCAGGGTCACATAGGCCTGAGCTTATGTCATGTGTACAGGTGTCACCAGAGAGCTACACTGGTTACGCAGAGCATACCTGGCTCCTCATCTGCTTCATCTCCAGTGCCTCTAAAGTCGTAAAAACCTCCGGATTCCAATCCCACCCCGCCTTTCCAGCAAGGGTGAATCCGTGCCTACTGTGGACAAGAAAAATACTTAACCAAGATCTCGCAACAAGAACAACTATCAAGAGCTAGAAGCAGCACTGGTTTTTAGGGAAAGTGTGTTCCCATGGAATGGAATGGTCAGTATCTCATCCTGCCATGTAGCTTACAATGGTCTCCAGGGGATTAGCTACTTATTAGCAAGATGCTGCATGTGCCTAAGGGCTTCTGCACTCCCATAAAAACAAGCCACAGCCATACTTCCAGGAAATGACCAGCACTAGGACAGCTAAGAGAAGCGACCTGTGGCCGGGGCTTGTATACCACTGAGCCCAGGAACCCTCACTGATGAAAGCATCCAAGGTTTTTAAAAGCAGTTTGGAAAAGGTGTATTCCTGGCAGTAATTTAGTCCCAGACTGCCTAAGACTTTGGAGATCAAGTCAGTGCTTTTCAAATTGTAGCGAAAAGCAGCCAGCATAGATGTAGAGAACAGGGGCTTCAAGTCACTCTTAAGGGCTGCTCAGAACAAGTCCCCCTCCACGATCAGCCAGGTACTCTCTAACAGACCTTGTTCTGGATGCAGCTATGCAGTAGGAGGCCTCGTGCTCCACCACCCTGTTGGAAACAGTCTGATTCAGAACGGCAGCCAGAATAGCGCCGTGCACTGACCCTGGGAGGGGGGCGGGTCAGTGCTGTAATAGCACTTGAGTCAAACTCCGTTCTGTCCAATGTCTAAGATTCCTACCACCCCAGTTTTTTTAGTAGCTGCCGCTTCTAAACTTAAAACCCTTTCTTAGCAGAAACAGAGGTGCTCAGGTTTTTGCTTCCAATTGCTGGGAGAGGCAGCATCCACCATCACCACTGACAGTCACAGAAACCAAATATCAATGCAGCATTTAGCCACCCCATTATTTCTAGAGAGTTAAAGACCCCCACTATAATTCTTAGAAGTTAATGAGTGCCACATGCTAACTATGCTTCCAACAGAAACACATGACTTTTTGCCCCAACTCATATCCCAAACGTAGAGTTCTCTATTCTTCACATAACTAGAGAATTACAAATTACTTGGCTTTCAAACATGCATGGTGACATTGCTTGGTGTGAAAGACACAACCCGTGCTCCAGTTCTGAAGTGACCATGCCAATCTACAAAGCAGTCAATCCAGAAATCTAGTACATTTTTTAAGGAAAAAATTTCTATTTAACTTGCTCTTTACGTTTATAGATTGTCATTTTTTTTTTTTTGAGAAACAAAACCCAGAAACAGATGTTTCTTTTACTATGCCCAGTCATTCCCTCTTTATTTAGAAGATGTTTATAAGTGTGTAAACATCTGTGGCATAATTTACCTCTGCAGAAGCTGAGGATGCAGGTAAAAAGATTACCTAGAACCAAAAGATCTGTAAATAGAAGTGTTAGCCCACCCCCCCCAATCTTTCCAACGTTGGCAACTAAGCCTCTAATGTAAATCCCTTATGATAACTGAGAAATCCCATGCTTATTACCTTAAGGGAGCAGCTCAAAGGAACCTGAAAGATTGAACTCAACCACTCTATTTGGAGGAGCCAACAATTTAAAGATTTTCTGAGACCTCCAAAAGTTACTGAAATGCATTGCCAAAATTTTTGAGAAACCCAGTCTCCTCCGGAAAGCTGACACAGGAGAGAGATTCAAACGCTGAGAGATGGGCTGCCTGGCGACTGCTGCGCTCCTGCCACACGCTGGGCCACGCAGCTGCAGCACAGGGGTCCTCCAGTCTAATGCTCGGGGGTCCTCCAGTCTAATGCTGTTCACATACTGGGGGAAAAATGAGGCACCTGCACTCTAGTCTTACATGTCACTCCCCAGTTAGCTGCCTGGGTGAGTACTAGGGCACCGTCTCCGGGGCCTTCCCACGCAGACTACCTGCTAACGCAACAGCTACGCGGTTCACTACTGCTTGCCAAGAGGAAACAAGTCCTGAAAGATCCAAGTAAACTCAGATTCTGGACTTCCTTTTTGAAGTCCTACAAAGCAGAAGCCTCAGTGACAGCCATTAACATACACAGGTTCAAAAGGTGCCCAAAAGGGCGCCCTTAAGAGGCTAGCTTCACAAGGGGTAACCTGAAAGTCTTAAAAAAAATACATAAAAACGACCAACTGACATCTAGATTGTTTTTTTGTTTAACTGAAGAAACTTCGTGGGGCAGCTTTGCCCCAGCTTCAAGAGTCAAGACCAAGGCAACCCAATGCTAAACTTTCTCTTAATCGTCTGAGGGAAAAAACAAAGCTGGTTATAAAACATCCCTAGGTATAACTCAAGAGTGCTTTCTCCAAAGGGCCAGGCTAAGAATGAAAACCAAATAAAGGATTTTCCTTTTCCACTGGTGAAGCTGCTAAAAATCTCATGGGTCAATCCTTGTTATTCAGGTTTCCACTCACTAAAATAATTAAAGTTGCCTTTATATTAAAACACACACTCCTCCCCCAAAGCAACTCCCAACTAACTGGCTGCTACATACCTATTTTAGCCCCGTCCTTTTCTTCAACTGTGTATTACAAAGATAAGGCCACGCGGTATTACACTACCAGAACATCTTTGCACAACTGTACCTGATTTTAACTTTTTTTTTTTACACATTTTGTCTGTTACCTCTCAAGAGAAAGCGCCCACTTCCCTGCCACTGTCCATTCACAATCCCTCCCCATCAAATAACACTTTGAAACTGTTTAAAGTGCAACAGCTTTCCAAAAAACACATACATAAAAAAAATGTAAATAAACAGGGAAAGCTATCACATTTTAAATAAGTTTCTAACCCTAAGACAGACACATGCATTGTTGCAAACAACACTTAACCTTTCATTATTTTCTAATTTTACTGTTAAAACACTTTCACATCGATTACCTCATTCCAGCCTCAATGCAACCCTGGAAGGAGGGACCACAGGAATAACCGTATTTTGTAAGTGGGGAAAACTAAGCAGAGAGAGGTGAAAACCCTTGTCCAAGGTCATTGAACTAGCTGAGGGCAGCAAGAATCTATGTCTTTGCTCTATGTTTTAAAGAGCCGGCAAAGGCCAGGGCACCCCCTGAAGAAGCCAGAGACACCTGACATACTACCTGCAGTCACCAGCTGCCAGCCTGCTTATCCCTTTCTGGTCAAACTTTCTTCTCCCATTTGTTTTCCAGGCAAAGGAGAGCACCCTCAAGTGCTCCTCAACAATCCTTAGTGATGCTTGGGCAAAAATGGTGTTAATTGGGCCTCCCCGGTGGCGCAGCGGTTGAGCGCTGGGTTGCGAAGCTCCCCGCAGCCTCTGCGGCGCTGGTTCGATCCCCGGCTGCTCCCCGGCCACCAGAGGAGGGTCCCACATGGCGCGCAGACCTCTCCTGCCGCCCGCTGCTCCCCTCAGCAGTGGACTTCGGTCCTTCTGCCTGCTCTGCTCCCCGCTCTGGCTCTGGTGAATTCTCTCACCCTCCCACGCTTCTGACTGTACCCAGTGCATGTATAAAAACAAAAACAAATAAATAAATAAAAGCATGCCTCTATTAAAAAAAAAAAAAAAAAGGTGTTAATTTATGAACCTGAAAAGTGGCTGTAAATGTAGTCCAAGGTGATATGGCAACAAAAACTTGTAGAACAACACTAATAGAACTTTCTATGCTACTGGAAAGAGTCTATACCTGTGCTAATATGGTAGCCACTAGCCTCATGTGACTTCTGAGTACTTGAAACGTACGTAATACAAAAGAAACTGAATTTTAAATTTTGTTTAATTTCAGTAGCCATATGTGGCTAGTGGCTACCACATCAGCACAGTTCTAGAGTCTTCAGAAAACCTCTTGTGCTATTAAAGACAATACATTTTTTACCATCGGTATAAACGATATGCTGTATGATGCCCCAAATGGAATCTCAGAAGCAGGACCATCATCCCCATTCAACATAATATTTTTACAAATTTCCTTTTTTTCTCCTTGGAGAAAAAATAGTAGATGAATAGTCTATGGCGTGGTTTTTGGCTTTGCTTGTACAGTTCACAGACTGAACAAATTTAAGCACTCAAAAGATACTCCTCTAGATTTATACTACAGGGATCCGTCTAGATGTTTTCCTCCTCTTTCTTACCATCACTCATCACGCAAAGCAGTAAAGAGTGTAAGTCCTAGCATTTCAGTGCTTGAATATTTTAAGGCTTCCTGATCACAAAAAAAGCAGCAGGTAAGCCAGACTTCAATCTTCCCTCTCCCAGTGGGCTCTATTTGCCCAGACAGATTAAAGTGGCAACATGAATGAAGACTGCAGGGTAAAGTAACCCCCAGTTTGTGATTCAACACAGTTGCAGAACATCTTGGTAAATCTGAAAAAAGGAAACATCTGCTTCCAAGAGTAAACTGTGCTTCAGAGTGGTAAACGTACAATCTATTATTTCCAGCTAAAATAAAATGGGAGGACAATCCCTCCTCCCCAGAGCCCTACAGTCCTGTGTGCTTGCCTGTCTTGAGCTAGACCCCACTCAGCTCAGCCTCCCAGGCCCCAGAGCAGTTCACCTTGAAACTCTGTGTTGTCAAGGCCCCTGATGGCCTCCACTGCATCCTCTGCCCGCTCCATGTGGACGAAGGCATAATCTTTCACGATGTCGCACTCGATGACCGGGCCATACTCCTCAAACTTGGCCCGAAGCTCTTGGTTGGTACAGGTGGGGCTGATGTTGCCCACGTGTAACTTGGTTGAAGCTTTGCTCTTATTCTTGCTGGCTTCCACGTTGATGTTCACCCCGTGAAGCTTGTAGTGGTGCAGGTTGCGGATGGCATCCTCAGCCGCCGTCTTGTCCTCTATGTGCACGAAGCCGTAGTTCTTAATGATGTCACATTCCAGCACCTTCCCATACTGCTCGAAGAGGGAGCGGATCTCCTGCTCTGTGGCCTCCCGGGGCAGGTTTCCGATGAACAGCTTCACCATCCTGACAAGAGCCTGGGAGAGAAGGAAGGAGATTTCCAAAAGTTAGGGGTGGAGCGGGGTATCTCAAGGCACTGCATTTTGGTTTGCGCCTCCAAGGAAGTTCTCTGCACCTTCGAGACCCCCACATGCAGGCTCCTTAGTTTTTCTTAAGCAGCTGAGTCGCGTGTGACATGCGAGCAGGAGGTCGGGGTCAGGAGGCACTGCCTAGTCCGTCATCTCCGCGAAACGAGGCGCACTCCAGTAACAGGATCAGCTGTTTCACGCCTTAAACTACTCTTGGGGGGCAGGAAAGAAGGGAGTCCAAGCGGGGGTCAAGAGGCATTTATCTGGGTGGTCCTGGTGACAAGGTTTTGGAGGGAAATCTCTGGACCTCTCCTCGGTGCGCTATCACCTTTCCAGATACTGTAAGGAGAAAAAGGCCCCCTCGGCCCCAAACTAAGACCCCCCTCAGCCGCCCAACCTCCCGCTCCGACGCCCCAACAAAGACTGGCCCCGACCCCTGCCCCGCCCCCTCCGGAGTCCGGCCCCGCCTCCTCCCGTTGTCTTTCCCGAACCGCCCGCCGCCAGGAGAGAGACCCAAGGCCCGGGTCAAGCCCGCCCTCGGGCTCCCCACACACCCACAGGTACCCCCTCGCACCTCCGGGTGGCGGCGGCGGTGGCGGCGGCTCCCGCGTCAGAGAGAACCCTACAAAATGGCGACGGCCGCTCGAGCCTCGGCGCGACCGGGCCCCTTCTCGCGCGCCAGCTCACGCACGCGCGAGTGCGCGCTGCCGCCCGCCCCTCCCCCGCCCAGAGCGGGGCAACCAATCCGGCGGCCGCTTACAAATGACCGTCCGCGGCGCGGCGCCAAGCCGCCCCATCCCGGGGGCGGAGCCAGCGGGTGACGCCACTGCGGAGCGGAGGTCAGCCCGCCCCCAGGCCCCGATAGCCAATCAGCACTCAGGAAGGGGGCGGGCGCAACACGTCAGAGAGGTCCGGACGCTACCACTGCGGCGGCGGCGCGAGAAGCCCGCGGGAGCCGCGCTCCGTCACAATGGAGCGCGCTGCTGGGCCCGCCGGGGAGGGGGCGGGGGCGCCGGTGACAAAGGCTCTCCCTGTGGGTCCCGGGAGAGGGGCCGCCTCGGCGGGCTAGGCCGGCCTCCGGGGCAGCGGGGGCGCTCCGGAAGCCCTGGCACGCCACCTCTGCAGCGAACCCGGTCATTTTTTTGTAGCGCTGAAAACACAATTAAAATTTGTTTTCGTTGCAAGCATTGGCGAGGAAGCTGGGACCCAAAGATGGCAGGGCCGGGCTGGCCCCGGGAGCATCCTCTCCAGCCCGCGCTTGGTCGCGTCCTGTGCGTGCTCGCCGCGCGTGGGCTGGCGTTCTCTCCAGGGCGGGCTGCGGCTGTGTAGCCTGCGCCGCTCCCGGCGGTGGGGAGCGCCCCGGAGGGAAGCTTGGTGCAGAGGCCCAGAGAGGCGCCTCGGTTTGGGGGTGCATCAGGGTCTCCACGTCCACACCAAGCCGCTGCAGGACTCGGCAACCGGGAGTCCCCGGCGCTTTCCAGCGCTGGAAATTCATCCGTGGGCCGAGGGCACCTCCTGGTGGCAAAAGGGAAGCTGTGTAGGTGGCTTTGCGCTCTGTCGCCCGGGAGCAAAGCGTGGACGTCCACGGAGATCGATGGGCCGAGCTTATCTCTGAGGAGAGCGAGCCAGGGTGGCTGTCGATCACCTTTCTCGGGGAGGTCAGGGTGGTGGCGCCGCAGAAGCTTCTCTGCTAGCGTCCAGCATACTTCGTCCAGGTTGCCAGTCCCCCCCCCCCAAGCTGCCCTGATTGGTATCTTTCCTGAATTCTCTCTGCCTCCCGATCCTTTCCCAGGGTGTAGAGACGCCATCCTCCCCATTTTAGTAACTCCTATGTTTGTCTTCCATCTAATTCTATCTGCCTCCCCCTCCTTTCTCCTCTGGGGCATTTCCAGTTTCTGGACTCAGGAACCTTCTGAGAATAGTGTGGGGACCTCTTTGTCCATTTCTGAAATGAACTGGGGCGTCTTCCCTGTGTTCTGGGAAAGGCCTCTGAAATCATACACTGATTTAGTTTCTGCCTCTTCTCCGATTCCCGGATTTTTCTGAGGTCACCGAGATAAATGTACTAAGAGTTCATCCTTCTAGAATGTTCTTTTCTTTCACTATCCTTTTCTCCTGTGTTTGCATACCTTTTCTTCTCAGAGCTCTGACTGCACTATCTTATCTTCCTCACTGATGATAAGCTAATGTATAATATTTATAGTCAGTATTCCCCTAGGTTATTGCAACTATGTGGGTGTGTTTTTTTAAAGATTTTATTTATTTTGGCATAGAAGAACCAGGGTGTAGGCCAGAAGTGCAAGGGTGAGAGGATTCACCAGAGACAGAGTGGGGAGCAGAACAGGCAGATGTACTGAAATCTAAGGGGAGCAGCAGGCGAGACAGGAGAGTCAGCTCCCTGGCCAGGAATCAAAATAAAGCCATAGCATGAAAGCGTGGAAACTCAACCACTAGGCCACCAGGGAGGCCCTTTGTGGGGTTTTGTTACAGTTGGTTTCTTTTAATATGGATCTAAACAACATCTATCCATTGTGGATGTGGGTAAATTATGTAAATGCTATGTAAATTGTGTTGTATAGTAGTCCCCTTGGATACATTCCAAGACTCCCAGTGGCCGCCTGAGACTGTGGATAGTGCCAAACTCTATATATAGTATATTTTTTACTATTTATATGTACCTATAACATTTATCAACTAGGCACAGTAAGGGATTAACAACAACAATAATAAAATAGAACAGTTATAACAATCTACTATAATTAAAGTTATGTGAATGTGGTCTTTCAAAATATATAATTGTATGCAATGTTTTCAAGACAAATTTGATCCCATGTTACTGAAACTATGGAAAGTGAAACACTGGATAAGGGGGACAACTATATAGCTCACTACTCCTCATTTTTCCACGAAGTGCTAAGTCAATGTGTATGATCTCTCACTACTGAGTAACACCCATAGGGTGTACCTACGCTTCTGGGGGTGGGAAACTCAGGGTGCCTCCAGCTCCCCACTGTCATAAATGAGGTTGCAATTAACATCCTAGTGGTGTGTCCTAATCCTAATGGATTCAAGTAAGAACTGTTAGGTTGCTGGGCTGGCGAGGATCCATGGAATTAACTTGTCTCAATGAGTCTTATAGTGCCTAAGTAGTGCCAGGTTGTCTCTGGAAAAAGGTAACTGTCTACCCCCCCACGCCCCAACTACAGCACGAGGGCCCCTGTATCTCAGTGTCTGTCTGTGTGATTTTGTGTTGCAATTTTTGCCAGTCATTTTGCATTTCTCTGATTACAAATGATTTTAAGAATCTCTGTTGTTTTTGGTAAATTCATGGCATTTGCCTGGTTTTCTTGTCAGGTGGCTGTCTCTTTCTTGCTGATTTGCAGGATTGTCTTTTATATTCTAGATATTAGTCTCTTATTGGCTTCAAATATCTTCTTTCATTCTACTAATTAACTTGGTCTGTTGTGTGTCCTCCGTTGAACAGAAATCCTTCATTTTTAAATGTAATTGAATGAATCACTTGTTGTCTTTAAGTTTGTGCTGTTGAAGTGGACCCTGGAGAGCAGTGCTGTCCAAATACAATTATAATGAAAGCCACACAGGTAATTTAAAATTTTCTAGTACACACATTAAAAAAAGTAAAACAAAACCATTGAAATTTAATACTTTTGCCCAATAGAGCTAAATTAGTATCAATTTGTTATATAGTCAATATTAAAACAATCAAGCCCTTTTAAATTCTTTTTTCCCTCTTCAAAACATGGCGAGCATTTTATACTCACAGCACATCTCAGTTTGGGCTCGCCACATTTCAAGGGCTCCTAGCCATTGTGGTTGTGACACTGGACAGTATGGACCTCGTGCTTGGAGATGGTGGTAGCTAACAGCAAACATTTTTCTCTAAGTAATGACTCCTTTTCTGTCTGCCCAGACCTCCCCATCGAGTTGTTGGGCCTGCATCACTATTTTTGTTGGATGATACTGAATTTTCATTTTTTTTTTTTTTAAACTTTGCCATCTTTTTTTTTTTTTTTAATTTTTTTTTTTTTTTTTAGAGGCATGTTTTATTTATTTATTTATTTGTTTGTTTGTTTTGTTTATACATGCACTGGGTACAGTCAGAAGCGCGGGAGGGTGAGAGAATTCACCAGAGCCAGAGCGGGGAGCAGAGCAGGCAGAAGGACCGAAGTACACTGCTGAGGGGAGCAGCGGGCGGCAGGAGAGGTCTGCGCGCCATGTGGGACCCTCCTCCGGTGGCAGGGGAGCAGCCGGGGATCGAACCGGCGCCACAGAGGCCACGGGCAGCTTCGCAACCCAGCACTCAACCACTGCGCCACCAGGGAGGCCCGAATTTTCATTTTTATTCTAAGAAATCTCCAGGCCATTTTCCACAGGGGTTGCACCGGTGTACATCCCCGCCACCGGTTGATGGTGGACGAGAGTTCCTTTTTCACAGCAACCTCACCCACATTTGTTAATTCTATTTATTATTTATTTAGTTATCTATTTATTTTTAAAGATTTATTTATTTTTATACAGGAGCTGGGGTACAGGCCAGAGGCGCGGGAGGGTGAGAGGATTCACCAGAGACAGAGCAAGGAGCAGAACAGGCAGACGACTGAAATACACTGCTGAGGAGAGCAGCAGGTGTGACAGGAGAGGTCTGCTGCACCATGTGGGATTCGCGCCGGCCGGTTGGGATCGAACAGGCGCTGCAGAGGCTGCGGACAGCTTCATGGCGCGGCGCTCAACCTGTTGCACCACTGGGGAGGCCCTAATTCTTTTTTATATGGGCCATTCTCACAGAGGTGACATGGTATCTCAATGTGGTTTTAATTTGCATTTCCCTTACAGTAAGTGAACCATTTTTCATGTGTGTAGGCCATCTGAATGTCTTTTTTTAGAATTTTATTTATTTATGCATACAAGAACTGGGGTGTAGGCCAGAGGTGCAGGGGGTGAGTGGATTCATTAGAGACACAGTGGGGAGCAGAACAGGTGGATCTACTGAAATCTACTGCTGAGGGGAGCAGCAGGTGAGACAGGAAAGGTCTGAGCCATGTGTGTCAGCTCCCTGGCCAGGCATCGAATTCATGCCACAGTGGTTGGCGATAGCTTGATTACCCTGAGACTTTAACCCCTGCACCACCAAGGAGGCCCCTGAATGTCTTTTTTTTTTTTTTAAGTTTTTTTTTTTTAAGATTTATTTTTATTTATACAAGAGCTGGGGTACAGACCAGAGCCGCAGGAGGGTGAGAGGATTCACTAGAGACAGAGCAGGGAACAGAACAGGCAGATGGACCGAAAGCACTGCTGAGGGGAGCAGCAGGCGAGACAGGAGAGGTCTGCC